GGATGAGGCCCCACGCATGTTGATTCCACATGAATGATTGAATCCCAGAACCCTGGATATAATCCGAATTGTTGTTATAAACCCTGAACATATCTCTTCAAACCTGAATGCCCTTGAATTCGCCTTGCCGCTTGCCGCAGGACCTTGATGGTGTCCCTCAAGTCTTGGATGAGATCCTGAAGCAGCAGAAGAAGTCGACTCAGGTCTTGAAGCGCTGTCGGGAGATCGGTGCTAGCGAGTACTCAAGCGAGTTTAACCATTCAATAGCTTTTGGGAAGTTTGCTTGGGTGGAGTTTTTATTAGGGTGTAGGGTTTAGGGTTTATAGGGTTCAGGGTTTATAAGGTTTAGAGTTTAGGGTTTACAGGGTTTGTAAGGGTTCATATGGTTTATAGTCATAGGGTTTATAGGGTTTATAGGTTTATACATATAGGGTTTATAGGGTTTAGGGTTTTGCAGGGGTTATAGGGTTTATAGGGTTATAGTGGTTCAGGGTTGAGGGTTTAGGGTTTAAGATGTATATACCATTTATGGCCTTTATAGCTCGTAGAGTATCTATTGAAGGGTCTGTAGCTGCTGCGGAAGGCATGTCGAGAAGCTGGAGATGCAGATTATGGAGCTGAATGAAAAGCATGATGCTATTGCCGACCTCAAGTCAGCCCATGATTCTGAGGAAAGGATTGATGGACAGAAGCTTTGCAGCATAGAGAATCAAAATAACATTCATGGTGCAGTCCTCTGCGCTTTGAAGCTGATGTTCGCTGTTCCCAGGAAGCTTGCAGCCTTGATCGCATCGGTGAACAAGCTGACACGCACTTACCAACTTGAGCAATTTCACGGTGCTTCTTGCAAGCTATTCCCAAACATGGCACTTTGCGTGAGGGTATCGCGCATGATGATGGAGGAAAAGAAAATCCGACAGACCTGCTCTCAGCTATCTACGTGCCTGCATGGATTTTGCCCATAATTCATGCCTATAATTTCGAGCCGCCAGGACTGTGCTGGCTGGTGGGAAGAAGGGTCCTACCAAGGACAACCCGAATTCTGACGCTCCCAAGCCCAAGGGAGCGGCCAAGAAGGCTGCTGCCAAGAAATGTGCGAAGAAGTAGCCTGCAGGTTGGGGTCTATAGGACTATGTATGGGGTTCGAATGGCCCAGGTTTAAAACAGGATGGGGAATAGTGTTTGCGTTGTGGTGCTGACCACAGTGGTTTTGGAGTGCCAGACTAAAGGTCTGCGTGGGGATCACGTGCATTGCGTGTGCCGTGCGCTTGTCACAAGCTGTGTGGACAAAGATTGCCTGAATGCCTGCGCCACGATTGATCGAGTGCTTCTGCCACGAATCCCCAATCTCCGAACACAACTTAACTAAAACCTAGATGTAGCAAGTTTTCCTCCCCTAGATCCGCAAGCCCTCTATAAAAGCCCCTATGCAACCCGCGCAGGTACTCTATCGACTTCGTCACGCGCTTCAGGAACTACTGATGCCAGCTCATCGACTGCTGGCCCTATTGCAGTCGCATTTGGTAAAGCCTTAACAAGAGGTGTCCCCTGGTTGCCGATAGAGACCGATATAAATAAAGTATATACTTTTCACATTTTGGTTGGGGGTCTGGCCTTGTAAAGCTCAATAGCCCAACGTAGATCCAGCCTGGGTCAAGGATGGGGCTCGGGTAGGGATTAGGGGAATGAAGGTTTATATTGCTTATGTATAACCTATGTTTTTTGGGAGGTGTGGGTTATTTGAGCCCTAAGGTTTCTCATGAAATGGCGGCTGAACTGGCGCATGCTATCCACTGCGAAGTGGTAAAGGCTTTTGGGGAGGATTCTGCGACAGGGCTAGAATCTGCAAAGCTTGTGAAAAGTATGCACAATGCGTATACTACCGGACATGCTGCAGCTGGAACTCGCGCAGCTATGGAATCAATACCAAGCATCATGGCCCCTCTCAATGTGGAGAATATCAGGATTGGGCGTGTTGGCGAGCACCCTGTGATATTCCCAAGCAGCTATGTGAAATCTCTGGCTGAGAATGGAAAGTTGTGCAACCTCACTGGTGGTCAACCTTTGTCGTGCCTAACTGCCTTTTGGGATAAATTGAAACCCTTGCGCCCAAAGCATCCAGTCTACCAGCTGCCCAAAGAAACCTGGCAGTACATTATTCCTGTGTATCTTATTGCTGATGAGGGGCGTGGTTATAAGAAAACTGGAGTGATGGTGCTGGGGTCCGAGCCGGTCATTGGTACTGGCTGTGAGGCGGAGGATGATGCCACGGCAGCGGAGCCCATCAAGCTAAACTTTAGAGGCAACACGTACAAAACACGGCAGTTGTACTCAGTGATGCGGAAAGGCATCTACAACAAGGATGCCACTCCCTTAAATGATCTTGTAGACGCATGGTCAGATGACTGGAGCAAGTGCTTCTCGGGCTTGGATGTGCAGCATGAAGGTGCAACCATCAGGCTTCGTATTGCTGTTCTGGGACTAAAAGCTGACTGGCCGGCCCTGTCAAAGATAGGTCGTTTGGATCGTAACTTTGCTCGAGAAGCATACCCATCAGGCAAAGGATTGTGTCATATCTGTATGGCAAATTCTTCTCAATGTCCGGAGTGGCACCACCATGATCTTACAAGGGCCCCTTGGATTGCTACAATGTCTACCGCGCCACTACCTTGGATGCCTGCTCGGGAATCAGGTCTTACTGCAAAAATCCCCATGGAGCAGAATCGCAAAGCGAGCTTCTACCTGATTGATATATTCCATACCTGCCATAAAGGCGTCCACGCAGATTTGGCAGCTTCAGGAATCGACACCTAGTTACATTTTTTCAGCAGGTGCATTTTTCTGGATCTAGGGGGGTCCCGTATTGCATGGTGTAGTAATCGCATAGGAGCATACCCTACAACCCGTCATTAACCAAGGTTACGCTTTTGGACTTTGGGCTCTCTGGATCGACTGCTATTGGCGCGATCAAATGCTTGCAACATGTGTATGCTGAAATGAAAGGGTTCGCTGCTGACAACCACCTGTACTTGCACATGAATGGCTTGACGCGAACTCTGCTCAGCTGGAACTCCAGCGCGGATTACCCAATTGGGCAACTTGAATGCGTATATGGTGTACTCCGAAATTAGTTATTGTTGGTGGATAGTGTGTGCTTTTTGGATGTGTAGGGGGGATGGGTCAAGTTTCTTTTTCAGGGTCGTGTCTGCACACAGGTCCTGGTTCAAAGGGGCCGACACTGTTGTGGTTATCAAATATCTGCGCTGGAAGTTTCGTCAAATCCTCACCTCGGATGTGGCCTTGCGCAGCCAAACTCGATCCTACCTGGAAGACATTGCAAGTTGCCTGCACCATACTGATGAATTCATGTCTTCCCTATACCATTCTGGTTTGTTCATTTCCCGGCTGCGTCTGGAGAAAATCGTACGACATGGACGGGAGATGTTGGCATCTTTTGCACAGTGCGCCAACGGTGCTTTCAGACTACAATTGCCAAGATTCAAATACAATCCAAAGTTTCACATGCTGTGCCATGTGGTGTACGACTTGCAGTTTGCATGGATCAAGAAGTTCACCCCCGTGAACCCCATATCGTCCTCCTGCCAGATGCCGGAAGATTTCATCAACAAATGCGCCACACTGTCGCGAGGTGTGAGTTCTAAGGCACTTACGGCCCGCACGATTGACTTGTACAGGATTGCTGTAGCATCTGCATGGTGATTTCGCTCCATGTGCGCGAAAAGGCTGTTTTCAGAACCCCCCATTTCTTACCACCACCTTAAAACCTGCCACCACGAACGGGGTGGCAACATTTCGGCGCAACTGCAGCTTCCCAGGTAGGGGTTAGGTTTAGGGTTTGAGGGGTTTAGGGTTAAGGGTTTAGGGGTTTCCAGTTGTCTAAGTTTCAGCATTTTGTGTATGCCTATTTTGCAGTCCCCTGTTTGAGTCCGGCACTTCATGACAAATTGCCAGGACTACTACTGTGGATACTGCAAATGTTGCATGACCCTAAGTATTTTTTTACCTCGGGAACTATGGTCTGACAGTATATTAAGGTCATGCAGGATCTTCTGGCATTATCAACAGTATGGGCTTCAAAGTCAGGGTTTCATAGTAGATTAACATGGGTCGTGAATCTAGAGAGCGGCGGTGAGGGGGTGGGAGGTGGAAGCTTTCATGGGCGCGAGCTTATGAGAGTTTATGGAAGACATCCTGCACCACTTAAATCCATGGAATTGCAGTGATTTCAGAATCCTTCTTCGCGCGTAGGGGGTGCATCCACAGGATCAGAGCTGAAAAGAAGAGCATTGGGAGTCGAAGCGGTGAGCTAAGGGCTTGTCAACTGAGCAGGACAAGGAGTTAATGTTGGATCCTCATGATTGTGGAGGGCGCCCCAAAGCAAAAAATGGAGACTCTACAATAATACGAAGTCCTCAAATCGGTCGGGAGACTGATAAGGAAAGATAGATCCTTCAGATCCTATTCAAATTTTTATGCGAGAAGGACTCCAAATACAAAGCTTTAGTCCCAGACCATTTCCAATGTCACAGTCATACAAAAAAAGCTCTTATACATGTCTTACCTTCAGATCTTCAGAAATTAGGCCAACAAAGCTTTGCTAATTCCCCTCCCAAGTCGAGTGTGGGTCCAGAAGAACGTTCGAAACGCTTTGCAAAGATCAGGGGTTCAAAGTGGTGGGTTCAGGTTTGCAAGGAGCTGCTTTCTATTTAGCGCCAAAACGAAGCAGGAGCGGTGTCAGAAAACCATGATTATTTCTATTACTAATACTATTACTATTACTATTATTGATACTATTACTATTACTAATATTATTACTATTACTATTATTATTCTTTTTATTGCTATTGGTAATGTTGTCTTGCTGGCTGTCCTTCGAGCCTCAAGAAGGTACAATTCATGCGCGTTTGTCTAGGAGGTATGCAGCAGGTTCCCACAGTCGACAGATGTCTGCTAGCTCCGATAAGTCTTGATTTTGCAAGGTCAGACAACATCACCAGGATGCTGGATTTGGTTGAGAACACCAGTCGCTGACCTGCAGTGGGACTTGTTTGGAAGTCAAGTCCGTAGGCGAATGCTTTGATCAGCTACAGAAACTCCTGTTTGTTTGGGGTGGTAAAATTGATTGTAATAGTACGTAATCTTAACAATTTTCCACATTAATAGTCATAGTACTTGTAATAGTAGTCGGCAGCAGTGGCGAGACGGAGCGTATGGTGTGGTGTAGAAGTGACAAAAGGACACATTATCGTCAAGGACTGCTTTACATCCGAGCCAGTACCGTTTGACAAGGAAGAACCTCGCAGCATCCTTTGATCGCGTCAGGTTTCTTTTCTTGGGTTCGGGAGGAGCGGCACCGCCCTAACCTCGGAACCCTAACACCCTAAACCCACGACAACGGCTGCCACAGGCACCAGTTGCTTGTCATTCCTAAAGGCACCGTTAATGTACACTGGAAGCCTTCATGTTGGAATAGTGAACATATCTCAAAGTCGTGGTCCCTGTTGATTGTGCCTTGTAAATGGAGGCCTTGACGAGTTGAGAGAGACGTAGGCAACCCCACGCCAGTGCACAAACTAACATGACAGATCTATTTCTGACAGGGAGGGTCTACCCCGGGTATCCCTACTCAAGCGTCCTAAGGTTGATGGACACAATCTGCATGGCCCTATATGTATATGGTAGTTTCCCAAAATAAGGGGACCCCAATATAGACCCCAAAATACTAGAGTCCTCATTATAGGGACCCCCTAAAATGGTACCCCTAATTTTGGGAAACCCCCATATAAACCCTGAGA